CTACGGCACGGGTTATGATTTTGACAGGCTATTTGTATTAAAACGTCAAATTAATATTTTTTTTTGATCCACGAGACTACTTAATTCTGAAAAAATATTTTATATCTACAATGGGCTGGCGTTTGAAACAAGAAGAACACACCAGATTACATATATATATATACCCTCAAGGCAGCATATATACTCCAGTAAAGAAATTCTTCTTCTTGGCGATTCTGATGATACGAAATACATACATATATATATATATAATGTGATCACGTTTCACATTGGTAAAATACAAGAAGCTTGCATTAGAATTCGGAATTACGCTTCATAAGTAGACGAAAAGAAACACTTTTAAAGACTTCCTTAAGACTAAACTCAGCAACTTAGTACTTAAGTATTTTAACCTCTTGGAAGTTACAAACTTTCGCACACGAAACATTACGTTAAACTAAGCCTTGGTTAACACATAGGTATAGGTACTTGAATGGCTACTAAAATTAATACAGTTTTACGTAAGGAAAAGTTAAATTATTTTATTGTAAGTTGTAGGAAATTATTAATATATAGGAATTGTAATTATTTATCATTAATTTGAATTTGGAAGGTATTACGATAGGGAATTAAAATGTAAATTTGCTTGATTTATCAAAAATTAAGTTCATCGTTCTTCTTAGATTAAATGCAAACAGCATGAATAGTATTACCCATTAAAATGATAAGTGTCACTCAACAGCAAGATATTTTTTACACTTTATAAAATTTTCAATTTTGCAGTATTCTAACCTTGTTCGATCTTATAAGTTTAGAAAGTACAAAAACATTGTGATAAGGGTGACATAAATAGGGTTACCCTTGAAAGGCTATTTCACACAAAATGCCCTTAATAACTTTTTTATGTCGAATAGCTCCTCCACTAAAGCTTATTTCTGGTTATAAGACCCCACTCTGAAAATTGTTTGTTAAAAACATTACCGCAGAAAAGTTTAAAGCAAATATTATTTTGTAACTTAAGTACTCAGGCAGTGGGTGGTAGTTTCAGTTTGTTTCGTCAGTCTTTTTAATTTTTCCTATATAAAATTAGAAGTTATTTTAAAGTTATTCAATTAAGTCTAGACTGACCACGTATTTTTTATGATAACAAACAACTGTTTATACTTCAAATTTATTAAAGTTCGATAGCATAATAATTAAAAAAACTGAAGTTATTAATGGACTCATTTTGCAACAAGCTATCATATTATTTTATGAAAATATGTTCCTGCTTACTAAAATAAACACATAATTGCTTCTGGTAATGTCAGTCAACATGTTGTGTACACTAACTGCACGTCGATTCTATAAAATTCTAACACGAACTCGCATGTCAAGTCGACATTCTCTCTCACTTCGCATAAGGTTCAAAATGGCGTTGATTTTGCATTCTGTAAGCATCACCTAGGCACTTGCGAAGTGGAGTGAGCTCCGAATCGGCCAATACTGTACTAGTGTAGTACCACACTACACAAAATGTAAGTCGAGATTTATCGGTTTTTATTTTAACAAGTTTTTGACACAGAATTTTAGATATTATGACGTATAAATTGAAATTTCTTATTTTAAGGAATTTTAGGCAGCTAATTATTACAAAATAAACAGAATACTGTAAATTCAGGCGATGAATATAATCTGTGCTTCGTTTACCAAAAAGAAACTGACAGATAATGTCTTCATTCATTGTTGACAAACTCTTTGTCATTTGCTTTGTATTATTTTGTCCACGTTTGGTTTATTCGTATATTTTTTCTGTTCCGTGTTTGCCGATAAAAAGAGAGATCATAAACATGAAGTAAGTTTTATTACTGGTTGTAAAGTTCAAAAATAATATTTATTATAGAGTGTTTATTTTGTTTTCTAATCAAACCATAATGTTTCAGTCCAAATGAGATACGTTCCTCACACCCGTCGTCATCACAGGTTTTACCTGGCTGGCGAAGGGTTTCTTGAGAACTCAAGGTGCCAGAGAGCGAAATCGGCGCTAGTGGAAGGAACTAGCCGTGTGCCTGTATGGTATAGATGGCACTTTCAAAACTTATAAACAGAGGACCAAGGTTAAGTAAGTAGTGCTTACTTTGGCATGTTAAAACCATTTAATATTCCTTAATGCAAGCCACTTAAAATAACGATGAATCTTGGCGTGCTCCTTGGTTATATAACTTATCTTATTTTAATTTTACATTGACTATTAATAATAATAAAAAGTAAGGCTTTTTTTAATAACTTCTTTATTAATATAAATGTCTGCTTGTAGTATTGGTCTGAGAAAAAAGCGCCATAAGAAGCTTAGCAGCTAGGCGCAGGACAGGACTGGTGTGGTGGAAGATGAAGTTGAGCTATCAGAGGTTGAAGAAAGAACTTAATTTTTGGAACAAACGACAGCGAAAAGCTGCAATTTGTTAAAGAGTTTTTATCAATGCACATATTAATCGGTGTTCTCTTTTCAGTATCACGTCACACATCTTCAGTTGCTGCTCCTCCAACATCACAACGGCGAACGGAATTCTCCAACATCACAGAGAGATTCCTGAAGGTGGAAGAGTAGACGATTTCAAATCAATTGGAAGAATTTACAAATATCAAATGCGCAGATCTTGCAAGCATTTCTGAAGAGAAGTCTAGGGAATGATTAAATTTTAGCTGGATCTGTAGTTTCAATCTGGAATGGATTGTGAGCATTGGCAGAGGCCATGCATCGAGATAGGGTGTAACAACGAAGTTGTGTTTTAGTGTTTAAGACGTTTCAACCAAATTTTTTTTATATTTAAATTAAACAATTTTGACGAGTACTAGCAGTTTTATTAGTTAAAGACCCATCCTCACATATCACTATTTATTTATTTGATTTTAACTCAATTGTATATTCAAACAATTATGGGATACAATAAATTAACTAGGGTCTAACAATTAGGCTCGTAAGGCTAAATTAAAAGAAAAAAATGTAATAAAACAATGAAATCACACGCATAAAAAAATGTGGAAAAAATAAAATCATACAAGACCCTAATTGAATTAAAATCAAAATAAAATTAAATAAAATCATAATCATATTTTTTTGTCAGGGGAAAATCATCATATCACTTCTCCCGCCCAGGGTAAGGCGAGATAGTGTCAGACTCTTACTGACTAAAACCCCCCCGTTCCTTCTCCTGCTTTAGGCCGTGACCGTGGCACCTCATTGCGCTTGCCCCGCCACCGTGGCTGAACATCAGCCCTGTAGGGCTCCGTCTGTGGTGGTCTATTGGCTCTTTGAGGCACTATATTTTGCCTACGTCCTAGATTTAAACCTGTATTAGATGGCAAATTCCTAGTTTGCTTCCTTTGAACTTCAGCAATTGTACATAATTTCGTCTCTAATTGTCCTCTCTTCAAAATTGCGAGCAGTAATATGCATGTATGTTATTTTAAAATGCTTCTGGGGAATTGGCTTCAGCACCACTAATGGTGTCATAAAGTAGGCACGTTGAGCATATCCTGAATCACCTGAAAAAAATCGAATGACTATCTAGTACTTATACTATTTTAAGTGTGCGAAGGCCATGTTTCGGCACGAATGGGTCGGCTCGACCGGAGTGATACCACGGCTTCACAGAAAACTGGCGTGAAACAACCATAGCGTTGTGTTTCGCCGTGTGAATGTGTGTCAAAATCTCCAAATCCATAATCCTAAAAAAGGTCGGCAACGCACTCGTAATCCCTCTGTTGTTGCGGGTATCCATTGGCGGCGCTGAATCCTTTCTATCAGGTAATCCGTTTCCGACCAATCACATATAAATAAAACCTAGTAATTAGACTTATATATTCTGAAGTAGGGACATAACTAACCAGGTAATACATGTTATGAACTATACCATCCATTGGCGGCGCTGAATCCTTTCCATCAGGTAATCCGTTTCCGACCAATCAAATATAAATAAAACCTAGTAATTAGACTTATATATTCTGAAGTAGGGACATAACTAACCAGGTAATACATGTTATGAACTATACCATCCATTGGCGGCGCTGAATCCTTTCCATCAGGTAATCCGTTTCCGACCAATCACATATAAATAAAACCTAGTAATTAGACTTATATATTCTGAAGTAGGGACATAACTAACCAGGTAATACATGTTATGAACTATACCATCCATTGGCGGCGCTGAATCCTTTCCATCAGGTAATCCGTTTCCGACCAATCACATATAAATAAAACCTAGTAATTAGACTTATATATTCTGAAGTAGGGACATAACTAACCAGGTAATACATGTTATGAACTATACCATACCAAAGTCCTTTGCCTCGCCGTTTTGTGGGTTTTATCAAAGGCCTCATCCTCCAGTTGGTCAATCAGCTCCATTGCACATACACGCTCACATAGTCGTCATCTCAGGTTAATAAAGACAAACTTCGAATGGTGCTAGATTGTCGACGCATTTCTTGTTTATCTAAAGCATGAGCTTCTTCTAACAAAGATTTTACCAAAAACATTCTTGCCATCGTTATCGTTTTAATAGGTAAGCACTTATTCACATTGTTACTTTCAAAACTTAATTTGAACACTATCTAACTATTATTTCTTCCATTTTCACTCGTAAAATAGATACTTTTAATTTGACATTTTGAATCTTGTTCTAGTTCGAAGTGAGCGTCGAAGTGACGGGACAATTACATTATAGAATACGATTTTCAACGTTATCTCATACTTTATCTGTCAAAATGTTGCGGTCAATTTAGTTCAACTCGTAAACACACTCGCAAGTGTAGCGCTAGCATAGATTCGAGTTAGGAATCGAGTTTTAGAATGCAAATCAAGAAACTCACCGCGGATTCAGATTCGAAGTTTAGAATGAAGTCTTACAGAATCACACCCCTGTTCACAGAGATGATTGATAGACATCAGTCTTACCGTTATGTAATATTTTCAATCCTACACGTTATTGAGTAAAAATAGAAAGCATTATTATTTATGTGATGAGTCAGGAATTACTCACCGTGTGTGTATAATGGTGAGACGTGGTACTTGATAGCGGCCGTGCAAGCGATAGGTCCAGTGCCTCCTCCTAGTTGTAGGCCGTGGGACAGCACCTGCACGATAGTGCCGACCACGGTAATGGTCCAGCCCCAGCCGCCCTCGGGGTAGTAGCGGCGCGCGAGCGTGAGGGCTGCGCGAGCCCGCAGCGCTGCCGCCGTCTCCGCGCCCACAGTCGCCCCGGCACTCGCACACCTACCGCACCAAAACACTTTAAACACCATAAACAGAACCAATCTACCAGCATTCAACCAGTAGACTCTTGCTTACAAACTTAATTCTGTAACTTCTCTACACTGCACTAACCGACGAAACTGAGCCACTTCACGTGCCGCTTCATACCCTACACTTTTAGAACGGCCCCGTTCCGGGTTTTGCTTGCTTTTGTTCGGAAGTTTAACTCGATTGCCACTAACACCACAAGTACACAATAAATCCTCCGGACGTAATCTTGGAGATGGCTGGTATTTAGGTGTAAATTTTTCACGACAGTCACATTCTGGAGTTCTCCAAGACAAAAGGCGGTGCAGTAATGATCGTCGTCGATGCGCCGAGGCCTTCCCACCCTCCTCAAAGTCCGTTTGCCCAGTATCAAGAAGGAATGTGGCACAACGATTGTTTTCTCGAGAAATAATTTCATCTTGCCGGTTGTCATAGGTAATCCGTTTACGACCATGTTTACTATGAATAGGAAAAACAGACGTAGACTTCTGTGAAACGTGATCAGTTTTGTCATTACTACAACTTGGTTGGTCATTTTTGGGCGTAAATCCATTTTTTATCCTTTTAACATCAGAGTGAAGTGACTTCCAAGTGGCGACAATTTCTTCGCGTGCCGGAGTTTCACTGAAATTGGGGACGGTGTAGGAATCAGGTATTTTTTCCGCTCGGTCGTCGTCAGTTTTTGTGTGGACAGACGTCGCCGGGAATCGCGTGGGCAAGCTGTCAGACCGGCGCAGCGTCATTGTCATTTAGATTTGGGGGTCTCATTTTTAACGTACATCTATTCTGTATTGTTCACTGTCACTGGCCTGATTTATAAAAACAATTATCTGAAACAAATAAAAAAAAAATACGTTTTATGTTGGAAAAGTTTGTACGTACGTATGTGTAAGTATTGTACTATACTAGTTCTAGTTTATAGGTAGGTTTAGATTTTCGTAACTAATTACACATTTAATTCACATTTCATTCAAAGTATAGTAGATACGTTTAATTGAGCATTCAATTAAACGTATCTACTATCTTTTGAATACGTAAGTTATTTTTTACTGAAGAATTTATTTATTTTTACATCTTAGAAAAACGAGTTCCACTACCACCCACTACACCACGTTATTTGTCCTGCTCCAGGCCGGGGCCGCGGTACATCATTGCGCGATATCCAGCCGGGGTCATTATTATAAGCATTTAGCCAAAAACATTCTAATTATAAGAAAAAAGTAAGAACGAACTGACTAAATGAATGAAATGAACTGACTAAACTGATTGAAAAAGAGTAACCATGAGTTTCTTGCTCGTTCTTCTCTATAGGAATCTACACTTTGGAACAAGCAAATAGCTTCACTAGAGGACCGACGGACTGACTGATACGCTTAATCTTAAAGCCCTTGAAATACTTTTTTCCTTTTTTTGCTTGACGTTCAAAAGTGCCTACTGTGATATATATGAGAAAAAAAGAAAATGACAAACACCGTCATAATATTCACTTCCTTTTTTTCAATTTCCCATATAAAACGTTGGCTTAGTTTAAGGTAAAATAATACTATGCTATTAATATTCTCATGAAATATTCATAAATCCACTAAATGTTATGTAAATAAGGGGATTTAGGAAATTGAAGGCAATAGTCCGACGGCTGAAAGAGATTCGGTAATGTTAAACATTTCTGTATCCAATCATAATCCCGGGATGATTAATGAACATTAAGTTACCTACGAAGAACATCGCCTCAATGTAAGTTGTGTAAAAGATGCATTTGACGTGATGAAAGTCATTCCCATTATCGTGTTAGGAGAAATATCGCTGAAAACAAGAAATCTATAAGTACTTGGGACATTTGCCAAGCGATTAAAAGCAATAATGTTTAGGAGATTGTGATCTGATGAATGGTTTTGATTTCTTTAAATCGTTTACTTTAATCGCTGATTCCCTCTGATGTACAACCATGGATTTATTAGCTAATTAATGTCTCTTTGTGAAACTGAGCACTTCGAAATCTAAGCGAGTATGACGATTTATTTAACGTTTGTTTAGATTTGAGAGTTGTCCAAGTTTGAAATAAGAATAAAAACAAAGCTCTTGTAAGTAGTTTTTAAGTCCCTTAAAGTATCAAGTTTGGCGATTTTCCAATAAATTGGCGGTAGTTCATGGAAGAAACTTTTGAAACCAAAATTACGGTCCTATCATGAAAGATAATGCATACGTTTAAAATAAAAAAGTTTTCAGGAGTTTAAACGCATTTGAACAAAGGTGACATTCAATTATTGTGATCAGTTTAAAATAACATCGAGGCCAGTCATGGCCCTAAAATCCATAAAATACTCAATACGTTTCGTAGACACATCAAAAGAAACGTTAATATATCTGGAAATGGAATGTGAATTTAGACAGTGTTGGAAGTTTTCAGACATCATTCCATTCTGTTGGCTATTCATAGTCGGTAATTACATGCGCAGATTCTTTTGTTGCCCCGCTTTGGCAGACAATTGAATTTCAAATCTTTTCGGTATCCTTGGATGATCCTCTAGACTGCCTTTTACAGTAAACTGCTGCTTGGTGTATGGTAATGTGTCTGGGCTCAGGGCTATGAAATTTGAGAGTACCTAATAGGTATGCATCGATCTGAGAGTAGCTTTCTACTTCGACGAAGATGGATACTTATGTTGCGAATTTGCTGGTTTTATAATACCGTTATAAAGCACGTGCCACTTCGTTTTCGTAAAGAAAATTTTCGCTGAAAATATGCTTTGAATAAAAATATTTTATAAAAAGAATTTGGATAGTCTTTGCAACATCATATAAGTTTAATAAAAAACTTTAAACAGTATTTTGGCTGCTTACTTGTCATAGTATCGCCATATAAATACCCCTACAAATAGTTGGGAAACCTGTTTATCGTCAATTCGAGTAAGTAAATCAACCTTAAATGCTTACACTTCGCAATGCGTTTATTATTATTTTAAACTTAGTTAATCTTTCGTTATTTTGTGTCGTTGGCACCACATTTCACTGTGGCTCGGATTAAATCCGATCCCTATAAAAGTTAACTGCTTCGGCCAACCGGGAAACAGAGACGCAACAATTTCAACATTTTTATTTTTCAACATTTTTCAATTGTGAACCAAATCATTAATCTCAAGTTCAGTAGAGTGAAAAGAGTGATACTTACTAGTAAAATCGCTGCTAATTAAGTTTGGTGTAATAAATATTTAATGTTTCCACAAAAGAGAGTTGTTTGGTCGTTTTTTGACTTTGATTAATTCAGATATTTAAATAACAGTTTGGGACCACTCGGGGTTTCATCTCTTATCCTTCGTCTTAATGTTTCTATTATTTATAATGACCCCTAATTCAAGAATAAACTTGCAGTTTTCTGTTTTATCGGAATGCGTTATGGATAGTTAAACATAGGATAATTAATTCTATTGTGAAATAGAATTGGATCAATTTGCAATCTGCGTTCAAGTGGTGTTCATCAAATCAAATTCAATCAATCGAGCGTGCGTGCTTTTTTGACATATTAGATTTTTGCTATGGAATTAATTTTAAGCCCATTTTTTAAAGCACTCTTATTATAATAATAAAACAATTGAAAATAGTAATCAGACATAGTTAGGAACTTGAGAAAGGACATAGCATAGTTTTTTAGGACATAGCATGGAAATGCATGAGTGAAAATGACAACCCTTGGAAGTTGTTGAGAATGAAATTGATTGGTTCACGATGCTGTAACGTGACTCCAACTTAAAGGAAGGGACAAAGCTATTTCGAACGTGGATTTAGTCAATTCTGTATGCAAACAAAAGTTATGGACGTTTGCTTCTGAGAAGCGAAACGTCGTTCATTCAATGAAAGGATCATGAATGGAAAGTAACTGGGTATTAAGTATCTATAGCGTAATTCTTAGTTTGCTTGCCTGCATTGTTGTGGTTCAAGTACCTACCTACCTACTATCTACTAATATTTTTGTTGTAATGTAAATATCACGTCATTTTAACAAGTGGGTTTATGGACAAATTCTCTTTAAATTCATAAAACATCTTAATTATGCAATGAAATCATTATTGATCAATCATTCATTTATTAATCTTGTAAAGTAGGTTCATAAGTTGCCGGTTACTTATTGGCGAAGCCTGCAAGATGTCTGCGTGGGTATTAATGATAAGTATCTTTTGGAAACAATTTTGCAGACATTGACCTCCAATCTTTCTATCTGATTGCTTTATTTAGTATTCCTGAAATTAATTTAGCTTCTATCTTATAATTATTTATGAAATTATGCTCGGCTTAATCAATCAATTTTAATGTAAAATTTTGATGTCGCATTCAGACATGACTCTAAATAATATTAAAATTTGTCTAGCAGCTTTTTAGTGTTATTTGGAATATCGAGTAAAAATGTATTTGAATTATATAGTAACACGAACTGTGGATAATTTATATGCTAGATGTGAGCTGTCCAGCCAAGTGGATTATTAGTTAAAGTCGTAGTGGAGAGAACTCGTTAATCAAATGGTTAGTTCGTTGATTAATGTTGTGGTTTAAACCAGAAATACGCTTGGGACTTGGAAAGTTCAGTCGACTAGCTATTGTTTTACTCGCACTCTTCTAAGAATACAGTTCTAATAATGACAGTTATTTTTAGTTTTCAACAAACTAACATCAATCTTTTTTTTGTAAGTTAATACATTGTCAACAAGATCCTTATTACGGGCCGTGGTTGGAGTTCAAGGCTAGAGAAAGAGCCATTTATCTCGGCTCTCGACTTGTATTATGTCTATAAATTACTTATGGCAAGTTAGCCTGAACCGAAACAAGGAATTTTATACTGATCGTCTCTAAAGGTTACATAAGTTCGTGTTTCCAAATTTAGCTATTTATTTGTTTCATATAAAGCAATTTTCTGTATTTTATGTGTATTTCAATTATAAAAAAAATTGGTACATAAAGCAAGACAAGGATCTATACAAAAAAGGTCCTAGGTAAAACATCTTCCTACAAGAAAAGCTCAAAAACAAAAGCTCGTGCCTAAATTATAAAGGCTAATTAAAATACGCTCGAGGTAACCCTAAAAATCAGTTACCCTTGTAATGTCTCGGAATCCCTACATTTCGGGGACCTATAGTAAAATAAATCTGTCAGTCCCGGTTGTCATAAAAGCATTTCTGACAGTTTTGATGTCACGTTTCGGAAAAGTATGTAAAACCCGTGTAAGCTTTCTTTCTGTTTTTAATGTCTATATAACTTCTCTTACAGATAATTTGGATAGCACAAAAATAAATGAAAAATCAAAAAGTTACCACAAATATAAATTCTTATATCGCAGATCGTAACTTTAAAGAATAATGTCCAACAATCAAGTAACAAAAGGCAACCACTCTACGATATCCTTACCCACAATAGTGATCACATCCCTTATCGGCGTATTCGAAACTGAATTCATGTCAACCCTTTATATAGAACAAGATTTAATTAACGTGAAGGCAACTTGAATACGTACAATTTGCTCGCATAACAGGCTGGAGTGCATTTGATACTAATACAATCTGAGATGATTCCATCAGATTTACGGTAACATAAACATTGCGTTACCTACATTGACGTTGAGATGTCAAGACCAGTATACTTCAAGGAATTAACTACATACCATTGGTTAACATATACAGTTTTCTCTCCACCTAGGGACAAGTTTTATGTTAAAAATGCATTAGTGTGGTACTAATGCATTTAAACTTAAAAATAATGATGACTAATAACCTAGTAGATAATCTTTTTTAAGTAGAAATTAATCGCAAAAGCGCATAACTCGAGAACGCTAATGTGCCAATTT